GGATTATAGGGATTATAGTCTAAACTCCTGGTATCCCCCTTAATAACCCCTATAATAGTCCCCTATATATTCCCCCATATAATCCCCCTTTAAGGAGTTTAGACTATGGCTCGTATGGCGCGCTTAAGGGTTTAGTGTTTGCGGGCGCACGTAAGTCTTTGTGTTGTAGTCTTGCCATTTCAGGAGTGCTTTAGGGAAAGTCGATGGTTTTTGGTAACACATGATTTGAACAGGGGTCCAAACTATTGAGGTTGGGGTGCCAAGTTATAGTGCTTGCCATCTAGGGACTCAAGGGGGTTTCTAGGAGACAGATTGGTTATGTTTTTTAGTTGTCGAAACAAGATACTACATCTTAAGCAGGGATATAGTCTCTCTCTATCTTGGAAAGTATAGTACCCCATCAAGGACAATACCGAATACCCCAAAACCCTCCTGAGTAGTGTTTTTTGGCGGTTGAACCTAGTAAGATAATATTCCGTATATACAATACTATACCCACAAGGAGGATATGATCGTACTCTATTGGGTACCATAGTATCCCCAAATAAAATACGACTCTCCTGACAGTCGGGCAGGCGGGCATGGCATCCGTTGCATGCTAATGAAGTTTGTAAACATTACCTACACTGGGCTGGATCCCTAGGGATAGTAGGAACCCGTGCCATCTAACACCTACCCATACCACGCTAAGTTAACTTCAGTTCCTCAAGCGCCCAGTAGAATCCGGTCTAGGTCTGCCAAGGGCTGTAAATAGTAGGGTTTAGGCTTGTAGGCCTGCGGGGGTCGCAGATGAAACCCGAGAGAGTCGAGTTGCGGGTATCCGAGAACAATTTGTTTTAAGGTTCAGGGCTTAGGCTTTAGGGTTCAGGGTTTAGCAAATTACAGTTCCCTTTTTGGGGCCCCTAGAATGATTGGGCCCCCCGTATGCTCTGGGAACCCCTATATAGCAGAGAGACACTGATTCGTAAAGATCATGCGAAGATCATGGCCAGGTGCTACCACTCGAAACGGTTTAGGGTTTAAAGGTTTCGACATGAAAGAAGGCCACGCTTCGGTGAACGTCTGGAATTGCGGACACTTCCAACTTAAAGGCCTGGCACAAGCCCGATCCTGCAAAGATCGCCGCAATATGCGGTGGATCTGCACGACTTCCGCCTCAAGGCGGGCGTAGTTCGGGACTCGCTTCCTCCCAGATTGGGTCTGCGACGCCCAGCGCTCTCTGCAAATGAGGAGGGACCGCCTGGTGTAGTCCAACGGCACCTCGGGCAGCTGTGTCGTCAGATCTCCACCACGCTCATTTTGACGTTTTTTAATGGATGTATAGGGTTTAGGGTCTAGGCCCTGAACCATACACCCTAAACTTTAGGGTTTAGGGGTTTAGAGTTTCTGTCAATGTTTACATTTCTACATATGTCCAACAACGGCTCGCGGTACTTCCTCCTTCACACACTGTTCCCCCACTGCACACTGCTAGAAGTGTTCTGCGATTAACACGGAACCCTATACCCAGAACCCTAAAGCAGCACAGAGCTGCCGAGATTCCTGGCAAAAAAAGGTTAGCCGCTCAATTATCATAGTACTCTATATACCATATATGCCCCAGAAAGTTACCTGCTACCCACTACGAAGCCTAAGCCCTTGACCCCAACGATCAGCTCAGTGTTGCCCATATAGTCTTGCAAAAGCTTGCGCCCGTAATTCTAAGCCACCGGCAGCACCTTTCAAAAAGTCCTCAACCCCTAAACCCTAAACTCCCTAAATCCTAGCCCCTGAACCCTGACCCGTAAACCGAGCTGTGGCTCAGCATGGTTCACCCAACTTTTCACCAGGAAACATACTTTGCCAGAAGACCTACGTGGTGCCTTGCCATTCTGAGACAGAGCTGGGAAGTAGCGCCCGCGTAGTTCTTGAAGCACACCTGGTCTACTCGAAAAATCATGGGATTCCGTAACCACCCCCTAACAGGGCTTATAACACTCCATAGAAGTCCGTTACGTGAACCTATATAGGTCAGCCTGATTATAAACAGGCTCAAAAGCCCATCTGTAAGTCAAAATCTCATGAACTTTCAAGTCGGGAATCGCCTGAGCCTGAAGCACTGGTCCTACCCCTGCTGTGCCGCTGGAACAGGACGCTAGGTTCAACATGCTAGCCACCAGAAAGAATGGGAACAACAAATTCTCCATGGAACTCTACGGCAATGCTCAAAATCCCTAACCCTAAGGGTCCAGGGACCCAAATAATGGGGCTTCAGGGTCCAAATACCATTAATATTATAGTATATGGGCCCTAAAACGGTCCTTGGACCCTTAGGGTAACATTCCTGACTTAGCTGATGAGTTCCCTAGGTTTCCTGGGCTTAGACAGCTAACTGGCTAACTTTCAACATAGGAGGATCAGATGAGCTAGAGTCAATATTTCCTACATACTTTAATGGACATGGGTTCCCTATTAGGGACTATATTAGGAACTATACTAAACTACAAGAGGGATACCAGTGTCCACTGTTAAGGGTCCCTTAATAGGGCTAATATTGACAATAGCTCAGATAATGGTTTCCAAAACATTGAAGGATATGGTGCCCGGATCATTCCTAAGAACACTCCGACTCTTGACTTGGTGCTTAGCGGGCAGGACAGAATGGACCTCTATAGCAGCCTCCTCCGAAACAGGGAAAAAGCTGTAACTCATTCCCCCAATTCCCCACTAAGCACCAGGAAGTTTCTCAAGCTTCCGAGATGGGACTGGAGCAAGACATCGGTCCCCGAACAGCAGGCACCACAGGAGGATGCCACTTTGCTCCGTTCCTAGATCAAGCCCCAGCCCCACGCCCTATTATTTGGGTCCCTGGACCCTTAGGGATTGTGGCTGCCAAAGCGGCTGTGAAGCTTTCCTCGGGCCTCGAGAGCCTGGGCCTGAGTAGCAGGCGGTTTCAGAGGGCCCTTTTGGAGGGTAAGTTTGAAGAATTAAGGGTTTAGGGTTTAGGCTGAAGGTTTAGGGTTGAGGGTTTAGGGTTGGGGTTTCAGGTTTGAGGGTTTAGAGTTGAGGGTTTAAGGTTGAGGGTAATATGTAGGGGTTTAGAAACCATTTTGGATCATATGCAGGGGTGTGTAGGGTATGGTGGCTCTGTGAAAGGGTAGTTAGGGGTATATCTAGACCATCTCAAACCTCATACAGGGGTATGTAGAGTATGGAAGGACAAGGAGACTTTGGGTTTGGAGTTTAGGTTCAGGGCCTAGGGTTGGAAATTCTGGGTCTAGGGCAGCGGGTTTGAAGGCTTTGGAGTTGGGTGTCTAGGGCGGAGCCACGGGGGTATGCTTTCGCCGGGATATACGACGCTGAGCTTGAGACTAAGCCAGGCCCTGGCACCCTAAACTGGCCCCACATGCTAAACCTCGTGAATCTTCCCCAGAATCAGGCGGAATTCCTGGAAACTTCAAATCAAACAACCTAAGCCCTAAGCCCTAAAATGCAATCTGACCAAACAAAAAGCAAAAAGCATGGGCCCCCTCTTAAAGGAGTTTAGACTAAATGGACACGTTGGGACTAGAGGCACAAGCCTTACTGGATAGCGCGCCCGGGGCTAGAAGTACAACAGCTGCAAGTAGAACTAGTGACAACCGGCCCTTTTTAGCCTAAACTGCCTACTTGTATCCTAGGATCCCATACTACCCACCCGGAACCCTAAACCCTAAACCCCATATACCTTGAATAAGCCCTATACTACTCCCCTACAGAAACCTCCTTTACGGAGTTTGGACTATAGTTCATTTGGGTCAACTTTTAAGGGTAGCAAGGAGGGGCGGAGTACAGGATCCATAGACCCTAAACCCTATTTGTAACAACGTGTAGTCGGATCTTATTATAATCTACCCAACACCATATTCTATTCATTTAGGGGGGACTATATTTACACGGGTTTCCATGCTACCCCCACACCCCCGAATATACTGCTCCCTACCCGGCCACTCAACTGAACACAATCTGATCACAGTACAAAGATACAGAGATTTGGGCTGATCGCAGTACAAAGACGTACCACTGCGCACCACAAAGAAGACAATTTCTCAAAGCCTAGCCCAGGCAGGGACCGTCGACACGTGCCCCACCACCGCATCCCTGCCGAAACTAACGCCGCGCCAGCACCCCACCCTACCCTCAGAGTTCGGCAGGCAGGGGAGGCCTACCAACCCCGCGTTTAGGAGCGCAGACTGACCCTTCACTAACCTACCCTAACCACCCCACCCCACCGCACTCCACCCCACCTCACCCGCCCACCTGCCCTACCCTACCCCATGACCCTACCTACCCCAACCACCCACCACCCTACCCTACCACCCCAACCCCCTGTGATCACTTCGCTCTGTACGGTGAGCGGGTGTTCGTATGGTGATCGGACCACAGGACCCCCTCCATCCCTTCTGAATTATCGCTACGTAAGTTTAATTGACATTGAATCTAGGGGGCGGTAGTGTAGGGGGTTGTAGGGAAAGCCATGATATTTTCTCTTCAGGCATAGTACCCTTAAACCCTTGCGTTAAACTCTGAAAACCTGAAACTCTCCTCCCTAATTGAACCCCGAGAGCATGCGGAATCTTAGGCTTTAGGGTTGCGGCATTCGGGCCTAAACCCTATGAAGCCCTAAACCCTAAAGCCTCAACCACGTGGGGTCCAGGTAGCCTTAATCTCTCAACCCCCATCCAAGCCCTAAACCCTAAGGGTCCAAGGACCCAAATAACAAGGTTTTAGGGCCCAAATACTATATTATTAATGGTATTTGGGCCTCAGAACCCTATTATTTGGGTCCTTGGAACATTAGGAAAACCCTAAACCCTAAACCCGCCTCCCGCCACGAGTCGCGATAGCATCTTGCTAGCGCGTCGAAGCGGGGGTAGACCTGCGCCAGGCTCTTTTAGCTTCGGGTTTAGGGTTCAGGGTGTTTAGGGTTTGAGGGCTTAGGGTTTAAGCGTTTTGGGTTGTGGGTTCTAGGATTTAAGGGTTTTGGATTTAGGGGCATAAGGGCAAGGCTTTGCGGTTTAGGGTTTGGGGGGTTGGATCTCATCAAATGACACTTCGACCCTACGGACTCACGTCGAGGGGTAGATAAAGGTTTGGGGGCATTAGATGCGCTAATTCCCAGTACCTATACATGGTACATATTTGGGACCCCAAATACCCACATAGGAGACATGCTGACTTGGGCCCAAAGTATGGCATATGCAGGTGTTTGTTCAAATGTACCAGACCTTACACCCTAAACGCTGAACTGTCCGCAACCTCCTAGGTGAGGTTCGGTGCATCTGCAGGTCGTCCTATGTATCCGCTGTTTGTGTACTATAGCCCTTAGCCCTATATATGCCCTACATCTAAACCGTGTTCACACACCTACCCTAGCCTGACCTATACAATCCGACAGGTCGTACGCCGCAACATCAAAAATGGACAGATTTGATTAGGGTTGAGGCTCAGGCTTAGGATTTAGGTTTTACGGGCCAAAAAAGAAGATGAGTAAACAATTAGCTGGGGATATCCCACGCAAACTCCATACAACCGACCCACCAAAAACAAGGGATAGACCACTAAAGAACTTATACCTAGTTTGGTCTGCCTGGAGAGCCACAGAGGAGGTGTGAAAGCCATAAGGAGAAAAGCGCAATGCAAAATGTGGCCCAATGGCTCCACAGTACACGTGAGAAATAGTCTAAACTTCTACCCCCATACTATCCCCTAGATAACCCGCCTTAAAGGAGTTTAGACTACAGCTTACATCTCAAGGGCGCTTTCTAGGTGGGCAGTCAAAGGTGAGCTCTCTTAGAGATGGCCTGTACAGTACAGACCTCATACGGTCCCATTACTTTCAAAGGGGGGTTCAGGGTTTAGGGGTTTAAGGGTTTAGGGGGGAGACTAACCAAACGCACACTCTCAAATCCTAAAGCGGAAGCCTTACTTTATACTATCAATGGACACGTTCAAACCTTTGCGTCGGCCAATGACGGTAGCAGAGTGGATTCGGTCCAGCATAGCCCGTTCACAAGGCTCGGCAGCAGCAGTTGGTTACAATGTGCCCCTCAGCAAGCAAACGAAAAAACTCAAACCCTAAACACAACTTGCTTGATCGGCCATCTGCTTTATGTATCGATCGCAGGTCCCTTGAGGGTCGACTGCCCAAATGGTCTACAGAGTCTACAATTTGTTTAGGGTTTGGGGGTTTAGGGTTTAGGGGTTTAGGATTTACAGGCTTACGGGTTTAGGGGTTTAGGGGGTCTGGGGTTTAGGGGTCTAGGGTTTAAGGGTCTAGGGGTTTAGGGGTTTAGGGTTTAGGGGTTTAGGGTTTAGGGGTTGAGGGATTAGCGTCCAGAGTAGTAGCTGTTTTGAGACCAAATTAGACCATGTTGAAGTACTTTGACCCTTAGGGCTCTTGCCGCTCAGGTTTAGGGATTAGGGGCTCAAAATTCAGTACCCCCAGTCCGAAACCAGAAACCCTACTTCACGCGAACAATCTCATAGGGTTTAGGGTTCAAGGTCCTGGCAACTCTCCACGAAATCACCCCATACAATGCTTTTCGACATTCTTTTATAAGTATTGTAGTGCAGAACAGGAGCCGTCATTGAGTCCTGAATAGCTTAGTTGGTCGAAGCTTATATATCCCTATATAACCTCAAAACCTTCCTCGAAGCTACCGGAAACCCAAAACCCTAAAACATGTCGGAAAACCCTAAACCCTACACCCTAGATCCTTCTAAGCCATCAAGCCCAGAATAAACAGAATTGCCAAGGGCCAAAGGCAAACGGAACCAACAGTTTGAAACAGGAAAAACAAAACAAAGCTGCAAAACTGCGTGCATGAACCCCACACAGCAGGTGGACCCCCCAGCGTATCATGGTAGTATATAGTTATGTAACAGGATTAGAAGAGGAAACTGACATAATCACCATTATGCGTTACAGGTCCAATCACGGAGTGGGGGTTAACCATAAACACTAAGCGCTAAACCCTAAACCATCAACCCTGTGGCTTGGTCCTGCCTGCTCCTTGGGAACCGAAACTCGGCCACCAACTAAAGCCTCCAAGTCCATGAGTTCCTTGCATCACTCCAAGGCAAATTCAAGCCTACCCTTTGCAAAATTTCAAGCGCCAACCTCTGATTCGAACATTAACGTTGAAAAGCAACGTCAAAACATCAAGCGTAGCAGCCACTGCAAGTGGACAACTGTTTTCTCACTCAGCCGATCAGGCAACAGGTGGCGAATCTTTAAAACCGGCTCGCGCGTGAACAGCCCGCTGGTGGAGTGT